TCTGTCAGCTAAGTTGTTAAAGGTATTATCACTGTGTGCTGTGACTTTTTCTAGTTGAATATCAAGCTTGTAAGCTTTAATGAGATTAAGTAGAGTATGCCATATTGGCCAGTAGTTATAGAAGTATCTTTTGTTTGGTGTAGGTGATAACTATATGAGCTTTTTGTATTTAGATATGATAGATTATGAGTCTGTATAGATGATAATAGAACTATTTCTTGAACAAGTACTAATAGCAGTAAGTATTGTGCCAAGTTTAGCTTTGTAAGATGATGGCCAAAGTTTAATTTCTGCTGAATAAGTATAGACAATAGTATAATCTTGAGTTTGGACCCATCCAATCTCCATAGTACATTGTTCTGTAATAATACCTCTAACAGAACCATTAGTGTAGAATATTAGTTGAGAGTGAATTAAGTTATTTTTGCGATTTGTATTAAGGTCTGTGAGAGTTGATTATCGATAAAGATTTCAGATATTGTATTGTCTTGAATGTTAATTATGGGTTGTATTGGTATATTTATTGGATTATATAATGCCAAAGAATAAAGTAAGTCGAGTAAGTTAGCATTGAGGTTGTGTATAATATCAGTTTTTGTATATTTTGTTCTTCCTAAAAATTTTGTTGATGATCTAGCTGGGATATTAATTGTGCATTTGTTTTGAATCCGATTAGAATTTAAAGAGCATCCTGTACATGGCTTACAATTATAAGTTGGTGCAGGGTAAAGGTTAGTATATAAGTAGTCAAATATAATGTCCCAGTATATAATAGATATTTAGTCATTAGTTTGATTATATTTCCTAGCCTTCTCAATAATGATATACTGATTATCATTATAAGTAATTAGCCAGAGCTTGAACTTTTTATAATGTCCAGTTTGAAATAATATTGAGTTAATATTTGATAAGTCTAGATGTGAGTTGATTTTTCTGGTAAGTTGTTCAATAATTGTTTTTCTTTCAAGGACTGTGAATCATAAGGGTTTGTGGCCTTTTAGGATTTGTTATATTTGTAGTGATATGTGATTCCATACTAGCAAAGTAGAGTTATCAGATGATATAAGTTGTTTTAAATATATAATATTTTTTAATCGTAGTTGTTTTTTAAATTGTAGGTATGATTTGTGTATATTAAGAAATTTTTCTATAGGTGTATAAGGGTATTGGAGTGTATAAAGTTGAAGGTAGTTTGTGTGTATATTAATAGATAATTGTAATGAGTTAAGTAGTTGTATAATTTTAAAAGTGGTTGTATTTTTGTTAGACCTATCAATTAATGGGTGAGGGTGTTGAAGAATATTGATTGTAGACTAGAGATTGTTTTGTAATTGTTGAAGTTGTATATGGGTACTTGAGCTCATAAAGCCTTAGTTATTTAAACAAAGTTGAAAGTTAGAAATATCATATATGTTGTGATTGAGCAGTGTACTATTAGGTGTAGTGATAGGTAGTTTGGCTTTATGTTTAGATGTAGTCAAGTATTGTATGAGAATTGAGTTATATGTAATTCTGGAGAGTATGATGTTGTGTATATGGTATTCTAGAATAGGAATAATAACATTATTAATAATATAAGCAGCTTGTTTGTCAGTTATATTTTTGGTCTTAAGTATATTATTAAGACCAAATGCTTTTTGTTTAATTAGTTTGATTTGTGTAGCATATTTGAGTGTAGCTGTAAATCAGCATCTCAAGAATTTGAATGGAGTATGTTGAGGTTGTGTTTGAATAAAATAGTTCATGAAGCTAATGTTTAGGTTTTGGTTGGTATTAGATACCAGTACTGATTTTGTGGATTTACTTAATATTTGCCATTTTGTAAAATAGAAATACTGTTTGTGTAATTTGTTGTAGTTGTTCAGATGATTTGGCAAGCCACAGGGTATCATCCATATAGGCTAGTACTGATGTGGAAATCGATGTAGTTTAGTATTTGGTAGGATTAAGTTGGGTAATCTATTCAACTATAAATATATATCTAGTATATGTTTTGTTAATACAAGTAATAAAGGGGTCATAGTAAATACGCCAAAGAAAAGGTGTTATTGTTTCTCCCTGATCTGTATATTATATAGAGGTGTTAGTCCAAAGTTAGTGATAACTTGGTTAGTACGGTTTAGTAGAAGATTAGTAATAATTTGTGTAAGTTAGGTAGGCATATTTAAGCGTTGCAGGGCTTTGTTAAAAAGATGTATATTGACTTAGTCATAGGCCTTACTCATATCTTGTGATAGGATTTAGGCCTGTTTTTTTGTACATTTGGCATCTTCTAGAAAGTTGTTAAGTATATGAATTGGATTATTGGTAGAGTTGCCAGGAAGTGTTACATAGTTGTGAGGGTTGAGAATTGAGTGTGTTGTAAAGACTTTAGTTAGTTGGTTAGTAAGGATTTTGGTATAAAGTTTTTTGATATGTTCAATAAGACTGATAAGGCAGGTGTTATTGAAATTGCTATCAAATTGGAACTTTTTCAATATAGAGTAAATTCTACTGTTTTTCTATTGTTTAGGTATATTGTGTGTAGTAAGACATCGGTTGAATAAAGCAGTAATTGCAAGTAACATACTAGGATCTGTATGTTTTATTATTTCATAACTAACTTCTGATGGCCCACAGGCCTTGTTATTAGGTAATTGTCATATGGTTTGTAGCACTTCCTCTGTACTGATTTCTTCAAGTATAAGGCTATACTATGAAGAGTTTATAGAGAGGATAGGTTTATATTCTTCTTGTCAATATTAGTTAAATATTATGTTGTTATAAGGTTAATGTGCTGTCCATTCATTGAAATAATTTGTGATGTGTTGTTTAATTTTGTTGGGTTAGTAATAATATCACTATCTGTTTTAATATTTTAAAAATATACTATTTTTTTATGTCTGTTGAGTATACTATTGATCATTTTAGTTGATTGAGATAGCAATTGATCACACCTTTTATCAATAGCTTTGTTTATATGTTTTTGTAAATGTTGTGCATTTTCTAGGTTTTGAGCATTGTAGAGTGTTTTCCAGAATGTTTTAGTATATTGAAGCCATACTGCTAACTCTGTTTGTTGGATAGGTAAGTAGTTAATAGAAAAGCCATGAACTGTGTTAATGTGATCAATTAAGTTAGAAATGTTGTTAGATAAACAAGTATTATGAAAAAAAAGCTTTTTAGTACAATGCATAATATGTTTAATAGTTTTAAAGTCCTTATGAAGTTGTGTTGCTTTGGAAATAAAGATGTGAAGTAAGTGTTTAACCGTGTATTTCTTGTTAGGGATATATTGTATCGTAGCTTGAATAATATAAGTATAAATTTTGTGCCAAGTTTTTTTAAGACTTTCAGTTGTAGTAATAGAAAGAGGTATATTATGTTGGGTCATGTTGAGGTTTACTTGGTCAGTAAAGTTTTTCTATTGTTCTTTAGTCATTTGTTTGTATTTGTATATTCTGCGTTTACATTTGGACTTGTGGTTAGTTCTGGCTAATGCAAAAGGAAGTATTCAGTTATATATTAGGATTTGATGATCACTATGGGTTGAAGATAGTGAATTATCAATTTTGAATGTGTATAGATAGGGTATAAGAGTATTATTTGCCCAAATGTAGTCAATTCTACTTTGGTATCTAGTACTCCACCAAGTGCTTTGTAAATTGTTTGTATGATTTGCCAGATCATATATATTAGTATTATATAAATAGTTGAGAAGTTGAAATTTAACTGCAGATGATATTGTAGTATTATTATTTGCATTAAAATCACCCAAGATAATGGGTTATAAATTATTAGATAATGCCTGTTGTATCCAGGTAATAGTTGTATCCTGTATAAGTTTTCATGCAGCAGTATTAGTTGATGATAGATATATAAAAATGATTCTGAGTTTGTAGTCATATTTAAAGAATAGATCAATAGTGATTGCTCCACCTGGGTGAGTAAGTATTTTGTGTATATAGGGTTAGATGTAGTTGCAAATCATTATAAATGTTCCTTCTTTAGCTGTTGATGAGTTGGACCAATAGTATCTGTATTGTTGGGTATTAAAAAACTTTGTAGATGTACTGTTAGCAATCTTGGTTTCTGTTAAACTAACAATATATAGATTATTAGTTAAGCAATAATCTTTCTATAATAGTCTTTTTTCCTGTATATTATATCCTTGTATATTGTGTGTTGCAATATTTAGTTTGAATATAAGATCTTGTAAATTGTTAGATAGTATATGTTGAGTTTGTTGATAGTTTGTATTAGAGGAAGTAGTAGTTTATATTTCTGCTATAAAGAGTTCAGGTATAGGTGGTGGAATTGATAAGAAGAAGTCTGGTAATATATTAGGTGTTATGTATTCAGAGTAAGATCTTAATGGTATTTAAGAGTATTTTGTATATTGCTCTGTTTGTAGAATAATGTGATCTTTAAGTGGTTCAAATTCATTAGGAAGATATATATATGCTTCACTATAATCTTTCTTAATAGAAATAATTATCTTATATAGGTGTTTGTTAGCTGTGTATTTGACCTCATTAATATAGATAAGGAAAGATTCTATAGTTTGAGGATGTGGCAGTAAAGGTAAAGATTGATTAGATAAATATTTATTGTAACAGGTGTTGGGATTAAAGTTAAGTTTAGATAATTGTTTAGTTGACAAGTCACAGGAGATGGATGATATTAGTAGTGACTTATTAGATGGTGTGTCTTCTATAGGGTTGCTTGCCGTTTCAAGCTCGGCTCTCACAGCTGCGCAGGATACCATAGTCTGTCCTGTACGTTGGGTCTGACTGTCATATAAATAGTTCTCCGTGTAAATTATTGACAAAATTTAAAAATAATGCATAATATATATATATACCTTTATTGTTCTTCTAATTGTATCCTTTGAATAATTATATTAATTTGAGTTTCAGTAAAGCTTGAGACTGTATTAAAACTATATGATCTAATTCATTTAATTTTATCTAAACCAATAACTTTAAACAAACTATATATAATTCTAGCCTTTTGTGTTTTCATTTCAAACTATCTTTAGTAAGATGAGAATTCTTTGCCAAAATTTCATTGTAGGCTGTAGATTTAGCTTTATTTATAGAGATTCTACTATTTTCTAATATTTCATTAACTCGCTTATCAAATCCCTCAACATATCGATACTAGGACCATATTTTAGCTTAATTTGCTAATGTTGCTCGCATTTCTGAACATTCTGCTTTATTGTAAAGCATAGGTAAATTTAATATTTTATTTTTATTACTTTCTTTTTTACTGCTACTATCTATAGACATTTCATTTTTATTATTAGGAGTAATTAATTCAGCAAGAATTCCATGAAAATTGATTTCTTGTTTTATAGCAGCAGCATTAACAAATGCAGAATTACTAGATGTAGATGTAATAGGACTACTAGATGTAGATGTAGCAGAACTACTATAAGTAGTAGATCTAGTAGGATTATTAAAGTTAGTAGGTATAGAGAAATTATTAGCAAACTTACTAGAGTTGGAGGCAATATAAGTAGCAGGATTATTAGAGGTAGTGATAATATTAGTAGCAGGATTATTAGAGGTAGTATGAGTAATAGGATTACTAGTATTGATAACAGGTACAGCAGAATTACTAGTATTAGTAACAGGTGTAGCAGAATTACTAGCATTAGTAATAGATATAGCATTAGTAACAGATATAGCAAAACTACTAGTAATTATTGCAGATGAGTTTGGGAAGTTTTTTAAATTATTATTTTTGCAAATAGGGCAAAGAATATTTGATTCAGAAGCCTAGATATTGATACATTTAGTGTGAAAAAAATAGTAACAGTGTAAGATTGTAATTGGTTTGTGAAGTATTAAACTAATTTCAAATTGACATATTATACAAATATCATGATTATTTGAATTTGGAATTATTTCTGAAATGTTTTCATGTGTATTTTGCAAAATAAATTTGTATATAAATTGCTTTAATGCATCCATTTTTTTATTATTAAACAAGGTTTAGTTTTAAAAAAGAAAGTATATCTACTGTAAAAACAAAATTTTATTGATTTAAATTAAAGAATAAATATTTATAATTCAGATATACTGTATTTATACAAGTTTTAAATATATAAAACCCTTAAAATTTACCTAATTTATTACTCTTTGCTAAGTACAATATTTTCTCATAGGGGAATTAGTAAATACCATAAGTATGATACTCATAGCTCACAGAGGTATACATATGAAAAATAGTTTAACGAATCGATTGTACTTATTATTCTAATTAATAAAATATACGATAGTAGTTTAATATGTTAGTAGAAAAAATTTAATTAACAAAAGATTGTTTAATCAATCAAGTGTATTTATCATTCTAATTAATAAAAGATAGAGGCTCAGACACTCTTTTTTTCATAGTATTGTGTTTATTG